TTGGAAATGGTCCCTCAGAAGCAGAACAGAAGCAATGTTTTGTGTGAAAGTAGTCAATTAAGAAAATGCCCTGGTGGAATCCAGTAAGGTATAATTGGATATAAGGAGGCACAATTCAGTGTACAGGGCTCCAGAGCAAGAGAACAGGGGCTGGCAGGCTGAACTCTTTTATTGACTTCCTGTCAGATACTGGAAAAATCTCTCTCCCTTCTGGGCCTCAGTTTCCCCTCCTGTGCTGCTGGACTAAACATCCCTCCTGCCTGCCTCATCTTGGGCTCAGGTTGATCACATTCTCACTCCTTAGGCCAATCTAAACTCAAGAGGGTGCCTCATCTCAGTGCCTCCCAGGTACAACCTCTAGGCATAATCATTTTTTTTTTTCTGTTACCAGGGTTTGAACCCAGGGTGCTTAACACTGAGCCACATACCCAGCCTTTTTTTTTTTTTTAACATTTTATTGAGACAAGATCTCAAAATATTAGGGCCTTGCTAAATTTCTAAGGCTGGCTTTGAACTTGTGATCCTCCCTGAGTCACTGGGATTACAAGCATGTGCCACCACACCCAGCTGGCATGGTCCTCTTTGATGTCCTCTTTGAAGTGTACCAAATAGTCTTTGCTGACAAGTCAGTGGAAACAGGCTGCAAGGGCTGTGAATGCCTCGGCTTCATCTCCCTGCATTCTTATCTCCAGACCCAGCTGGAGACTTGATGTATTTATTTGCTCCTCCCAGGGCCGCCTGTAGCAAACCTGCAAGTCTGCCAGTGCTGTGAGAAAAGTGACCTTCCTACAGATGGCTGTCTGGTAACCAGGTGGGGATGAGGAGGAGGGGGCTACTATAAATCCTTCCAGCCTGCAACCCAGAGGTGACCCAGTTGGGGCAGAGAATGCAGGAGGCTTGGAGAAGGTGGGGGTAGAGGAACCCGGAGAAGTGACTGGGGATAGGGTTACCTAGATCCTAAAGGGACTAGAATCAGAAGAGAGGCGAGTAAGAGAAGGAAGAGAAAAGTAGAAAAGGGAAGAGGCAGGGATGGGGAAGGGAGGAAGGAGCAGAGTGGTGAGAGGGGAAGAAGTAGGCAGTGCTCTCTGGAATGTTCTGGAAGTCAGCACATGGCCTTTCGCATGGTGTTGGATTCTAGTGGTTTTCATTGTGTCAATTTAAGTACTTTATATATGTTATCCCACTTAATCATCACAATTTACTATGTATTATCTCCCCCAATTTGCATATGAGATCCCAGAGGCCAAGTAATTTCTCCAAAGTCACACAGCAGAGCTTGTATTTGAACCCACATCCCTCCGAAGCCTAAATTCTAACTATAACATGCGCGGTTCAGAGAGTACCTCCAGGGGGCAGGCCTCACCCCTCCTCCCTACCTCTTCTGATTTATTGTAGAATGGTCCAGCCTGAGGTGAGCCATAGCCTGGGGTGAGCCATAGCTTTGGCTTTCTGGCTGTAGAACTGTAGGGGAAGTCAGTCCTCTGTCCTCCATCTGCGTGATGAAGGCAGATTGAGACCATCAGACAAGCCACTCTGAATTCCACAGTGTCTCCTATCACACTTGTCTGACTGGCTTACTTTTTGGAAAATTTCTGTGGTTAGTTAGCTAGCTAGCTTTTGTAGTCTGCTTGGCTATCAAGTTTGGGATATTTATAATATTTATAAACTGAATTAAGCATAGTCTAGGCGGCTGGTATTTTAGAGAATTCCTTTGGGCTGAGTATAAGGAAGTTCCTAGAGCCAAGAATGAAGGAATTTCCTCCTCCTTTAACAGCAAATATATTTTATAAGGGTGTTATAGAGACTTCCAAACTTCCTATTGTTGTTGTATTTTGTTTTTCTTATTTATTTCTTTTTGCTTGGGAGGAGTCAGTGGAGATTCTTCACCAGAGTCCCCACTCACAGCTGCTGTATTTAGGTTCAATGGAGTTGAACCTGGATTCAGAGACAAAAACAACTGGTGGTACTGTCTCCATCATTCCCTCAGGCCTAGGCCTGGGCTTGTACCTTAGACCAGGACCCAGGCCAGGCCTGAGAAGCATGTTCCCTCCGAGTCCCTGGCCTACATTCTATTTCATCTCCCTCCAGATGTCCTCATCCTATGCCCACCCTCATGGAGGGGTTAACACTCCCATGATCACTCTTACTTGCATTGTAGCTAGAGATGGGGACTTCCCAGACAATACTCATCCTCAGTGGGGACAGTATCACTCTATAAGGGACAAAAATTCACCCTGGGTGGGTAGCTAACAACCTCAGGTATTGCAATGGTTTCTGACCCTCCAAAGGATCACGCTTCATAAGTATGTTGTGCACAAAAAAGAAAACGGTCTCATTTTCATGCATGATCCTTTTGTTTTTTAAACTCAGACTTCACACATGCTGGGAAAGGGATCTACCACTAAGCTACACCCCCAGCCTTCAGATGATATGATCTTGTGTCTCAAAAATCTTCAGGAATTTACAGTGTATCTCTGGCATTAAAGTTTCATTGATTAGAAAATGAAATTAGGGGGAAAAATCTAAGAACGCTCTTTAAGGGGGCAATAATGGAAAAAAGAGAGACCGAGAAACGCTTTCCTAAAAAGAAAAAACAAGAATTAGGATAAGTTGACCAGAACGCTGGGTGGGTAGCATTTGGAGACCTTTCTAATCATCTGTGATTGGCAGACCAGGAGGGAATAGAAAGGGGAGACCAGGAAACCTTCCCCCACCCTGAGGCTGGGTCCTCTTTAGTGTGTACTACAGATGGTGCGGGTCTAGACACAGGCTCCCTGTGGGCAAACCCCAGTTATGCCACAGGCAAATGTACTGACCTTGAACAAGATATTCAGCTTTCTGTCCCTGTGTTCATCAGCAGGATGAGGAAAATGTCAGCTGTAGGTTTGCTGGGAGAATTGAATGAGATTATTTGTGCTAAATGGTTTAATAGAGTCCCGCACTTAGTTACTTTTCTGTTGTCTGTGAACTTTATTCACCTGGTTGGTTGTCCCAGGGGCCAGGTTTGCCCACTCCTCAGTCCCTCTGATCCCATTGGTTGCCTGGGGCCCACTGGGGTTCATGAGCTGAGGCAGAGGCCCTGCCAATGCTTCTAGAACAAGTTCTGGGGAAGGAAGCAGAGTGCACTGGGGAGCCACCTTAGCAGTCCTCTGCAGGAGCTCCTGCCCACGTGTCTACAGTTTTATGGATTTCTCAGTTGCCAAAGTCATAAAGACCTGAAGACTCTGTTCCTAACTCTATTCCTAACCTTAGTCACAAGTGACCCAAAATCTGATCTAAACCTACATCCTACCCTAGCACCCCAAGATAGGCCCTTCAGCCCCTCACCCAGGTTCCTAACCCACCCCATCCTTGCCCTGATCTAACCTGGGGCCCTAACCTTAGAGCTCCGGCTCTCTCTCTCTCTCCCTCTCTCTCTCCTGTAGCCCTTATCCTAATTCCACTGGTAACTCAGAATTTCCCAAACTTAGGTCACTCATTTCCATTGTCACAGTGTTGCGGTCCTTGTGTCACCTCTGAGCTTGCAGTCATTTGGTATCTGTCCTAAGTGGATCTTGAAAGAATCCCACATTAGCGCTTGAGCAACTCTCTCAGAAATCATAGTTTTGATAGGTTGGTTTTAGTGTTTCAAAAAGATGTTAAAACAAATATAAAATGTTTAACATTTTGACACTGCTCTCCATGCACCCGCTACTTAAAGTTTTCTCCCACCGTCCTCTAAGTGTGCGTGGCACTTTAGAAAGGCTGAGCTATTTCAGCTTAGCCTGTCAGCGCATTTTCCACCCACGCCTGGCCGCAGCCTCCTACCAGACGGGTAGGCTGCAGCGCCCTCTGCTGGCAGAGCCTGCGAACAGCCCTAGCCTTGCTCTGCTGGACAGGTTCACAGTATCCTACCTCTCTCTGGTTGGACGCTTACTAGCTATAGTGTTCCCTTAATTTTGTAGAGTGAAGCAAGGTGAGAAGGACACATGTGGGGGAGTGGGGTGGAGTCAAACTGAGGCCAAAGGAAGAGCTAGGATCTAGGATCTAGGGGTCTGCTGGGAGGAGTGGAGTGAAGGTCAAACTTTGAGGTGTAGAGTTGTCTGGGCAGGGCAGGTTCAGTAAGAAAGGGTGCAGGGCTGGGGATGTGGCTCAAGCACGCTCGCCTGGCATGCGTGCGGCCCGGGTTCGATCCTCAGCACCACATACCAACAAAGATGTTGTTGTCCGCTGAGAACTAAAAAATAAAATATTAAAAAATTCAAAAAAAAAAAAAGGTGCAGGATGGGAGAACAGTAGCACCAAGGGTCGGGGTAGCAGCTAGGAGTTGTACAGGTGGAAGGATGAACAAGGTTGGGGCTGGGATTTAAGCAGATTTTTTTTTTTTTTTTTTATTTTTTTTTTATTTAAGCAGATTTTTAAGCGAACTTCACTGAAGCATGAGCCCTTGGTTCTTAGAGGAGGCCCTGAGGCAGGGCTGGGCTGAGTTGTCATAGGAAGGCTTGTCTCAGGCCTGTCTCCCATTTGGTGTGTCAGGAGCACAGAGCCACCTATTGCCCTGATCCCCCAAGATAGGCCCCCTGTTCTTCTTGGTTCCCTCAGACCTCATGGCTCCAGTTGTCCATTTTGTCCCAGATCTCATTCAGAGTGTGTGTGTGTGTGTATGTGCTACTAGGAATGAAAGGTTTGTGTCACCTCACTGGGCAAGGAGGTAATTCTTGAAGTTGGTGCCTCTATCCCTTCACATGGCTTTCCCCTTTGGAAATGATCCTGAGGCAAGCTTATCCTGGATTCCCTACTTGCAATAGGGGTTTCACATTCAAGCCCTGAAAGATCCCTCAAAGCACAAATGTGCTGGGCTAATGCCTGCTCACCTATGCCTGGGAGAACCCCTCTTCCCAGGGAAAAGGTATCTCAATGGCTCCTCTGAGATGGACTTAGCAGTTTGTGATCAGGCTTTTCCTCAGATTCACATCTTTATTAAAGGTTGTGACAGTGGCAAAAGGGCAGTGTCCCTTTATTGTAAGCAAGCATGGTGGGACTGGGCCTCAGTGGGCACTGCTCAGCCCAAGGCTAGGCTGAAGGCAAAAATGAGAAGTGGCCCCAGATGGCCTTGCCATCTGCCAAGAGGGTCAGAACAGCCAGGCTGGGGTCCCTGCCTCCCTTCTCCACCTTCATCCATTGGCCTGTTCAGAAAAAGATTTAATAGGCTAATATTGTGATCTTATTTTAGGTGCAGTTTTCACTGTTAGAGCCAGTATGATGGGAACAAATTCCTATGGAATGCCTTAGGGGGTCTTCAGGGTACCTATTGGGTGGGCCTGAGGCACGGGCACACAAGACTTCACCAAAGTCCATCAGCCATGGAGTTTGGAGGCCTGGGCTGTCTGGAAGCATGCCAGGAGCCAGGAGCCAGGGAGGAGGAAAGGAACAGGGGGAGGCTGGGGAAGGCACAGTAGTTCTGCTTGTCAGTGGGGATGGTCCTGACCTCCCTGTATTCTGATACTGACCTCTGGTGTGACCATGAGCTGGGCATCCAAAGGCTTAGGATGGGAGCTAGGGTTCAAGGATGAGAACACCTCTTATCCACTACCCCCAGAGAACTGCTATTCATGCCTAAAAACCCAGGATGGCAGAGCTGGATGGGAGTTCTGAGGCCATGCAGGCCTATTGGCCCATTTCACAGATGGGGACACTAGAGTTCCAAAAGAGGCCTCTTCTTAGTCACATTCAATGCACATGGTCAGAGACAGAGACAGGACTTTCTTAGCCATGCCATACTGCTTCCCCCTGGAGGAGTGTCTATCAGAGCGGGTGTTCTCAGACTTGAGCATGCACTAGGATCACCTGTTGAAACAGATTGCTGGACCCAGCCCCAGAGATCCTGATTCTGCAAGCCTGAAATACAGCCCACAGATCCACATTTCCAAGAAGTTCTCAGGGGGGTAGCAATGCCTCAGGTGGAGCTAGGGACATCCCTTGGGACATTGCTGGGGAGGGCTCAAGGTGGGGCAGCACAGGGAAGGTCAAGGGCCATGTTGAGGTGGGGGTCTGATGGCCTGAGGACCAAAGAGTGAAGCTATGATGCAAGGAAGGCATTTTCAAGGCTGGGAGGAAGGAAGCAAGTTTTGAAGGGTCAGACTACAAGAAGGTAGAGAAATGGCTTCTAGCTCTCTCTGCTGATCTGAGGCCCTCTTGGGATGGAAATGCTTCAAAAAGGAAGTGAAGAGAGAGCTGGCCTCCAGGCATGTAGAGGCTGGGAGAACCCAGATTCAGGAGAGGTTTAGTTTGAAAGGCACTTTGGATACCCATGGGGCTACTGGTGTTGCTGCCAGTGTCATCATAGATGGCCATCTGTGGGAACAATCAGCAGATCCCTTGGGGCAGCGACTGTGGGTCAGGAAGGTGGAATAGTTGGGGCAATAGGAGGGCCACTTAGAGAGCCCAGAGGTCATGGCTTCTTCCCTCAGGACCTTCCTGATTCTGGCTCCTGGAGAGAGAGGCCTGGGGATTGGGGTGTCTGGGGCTGGTTAGGGGTAAATGCTTTGCCTCTTTTTAGAGAGGTTTTTAGAGAGGAGGAATTTGGTCCCAGAGAAAGGGAAGTGATTCTGGACCAAATGGTGACTGAGTACTAAGTACCAGCACTTGGGAATGCTGTGATAGGTGGGGCCTGGTTCAGGGACCCCCTCCCTCTCTGCCTACCAGAGACCCTATGCCAGTCATCCCCTCCTCTCAGCTCTGCTTGGCCTTTTCTGCCAAGCTGTGGCCAGTGAGAGGTGTGGAGCTGCCTTCTGCCTGTGCCAAGGCCGGGCCCTCCAACAGACCTTCCAAATAGGTGCTCAGGGCCTGCAGGTTGAAAGCAGGCTGGGCTGAGGGTGATGAGGTGGTCTGCAGGCTCAGGTAGTGGCTGAACTTCTTCAGGCCCCGCTGAGGGTCACTGCGATGTGTGGTCAGCAGCTCCAGGAAGCTCACATTGTGCAGGGCCAGGAGGCGGGCTTCAGCCCGGGGCAGGACGGCTGCCTGAACCAGAGGCTGCAGGGAGGCGAAGCACTGCAGGCTACTGAAGGGGTAGACGTGCTGGGCCAGCTGCGGGCCTGGAGAGACCTCAAGGAGGCGGCACAGGTCACGCATGGCCAGCACGGCGGCCAGGGCACTGCGCTCACTCATGTTTCTTGCTAGGTAGGTCTTAGCCAGGCTCTTGAGTTTAAAGCTTCTGGCCCCTGGCACGCGCTCCCGGATGAGAGGCAGCGCAGCCAGGAAGCCCGAGATGGCCTCCTGGAATTCCCACAGCCTGTTAATGTCCTCCAGGGCCTGGAAGAAGTTGGGGAGGCCAGGCCCCCACAGCTTATAGCAGGCCAAGATGGGGCGGCGCATGGAGCTGAGGAAACTGAGGAAGTGCTGCAGCCCCACCTCCAGGGAGACGGCCTTGGAGTAGATGCTGAAGGCCTCGGGCTGGATGAGCACACGGAACTTGCTTTCCCGGTTCACAGCTGCCAGCTGGCTAATCTTCTGGGCTGGGCAGGAGAGAAGGGCAGGGTGAGGCCCCAGGAGCACTGGAGGGCTGGTGCAGGGGGACATCAAGGGGCTATCAACCCACCATTTAGAGATCCCACCTTGGGGCCTGCTGGCAGGAACCAAAAACTGGCCTCCAGATGCAGGTTGGACCTGGTTCTGATGCGACAGAGGTCAGGTAGGCAGCTCCACCTTGTTCACCTGGGGATCTAGCTCTTCCCCATACCACCCATAGCAGAGTTGGCCAAATCCTCGGGACYCAGATTCCTCCTGTCTGTTTTCTATCGGCCTCTGTGACCCCAGACTGTTTCTTCCCAGCCCCTCACTCCACACTCCTGCCTCCAATCCCATCAGTCACTTAACTGAGGCTCCCCAGAGCACAGACAGCAGAACTGCCCAGCATAGTCCCCTGGGACCATGGCCTCCTACAGAAGTATGTAAATGACTTTCCTCTACCATGAAAACACCTGCTGCTTCTAGCCCCAATGTCAAGTCCATGCTGCAGGGCAGGGCCCAGGGCTTCTGGCTTCAAGAGGGGCATTACGGAGCCAGGGAAAGCATGAAGGGGAAGGAGAACAAAGGGCTTCTGAGAAAAGGGGTCATAGGATCTGTGACCTTGACTCTGCCTCCCTGTGCCTCCATCTGTGGGATGGGCCTGGTACTCAGAAATGTACAGCCATAGCCAAGGTCTCGAAGGTTAGTAATATCTCATCAATGAAACACACTGTTTAGAAGGGTGTCCCCTGGCTCTAAGAGACGGTCTGGTCAGAGGTGAACTCATGGAGGAACATGCCTCCCTCCCAAATGCAAGTATTGTTCCAGGCAGATGACCTGTTCAGACCGCCAAGCCATGCATGTGTGACAACAGGGGAGCCAAAGAGCTCTGTCCACTGTGGCTGCCATCACTGTGGCTGAGCTCGGGCTGGCCTGGGTCTCACTGAGAGCTCTGCCTACACTTTTCTTGGAGACTCAAAGACTAAGCTAGACAGGGGTGGAGGTGGCTTCAGAAGAACCCACTTTCATTGTCAATCTTGAGGTCAAAGAAAACCAGGGGCCTGTCTTCTGCTCGGGGGTCGGCGAGGCTCTCGTCCAGGACCCTGAGGGAGCTGGGGCCCTCCAGCTGGAGGTCACTGGACTCGCTGCTGCTGTCATCCAGCTCTCGGGAAGACTGCAACACAGAAAAACCAACAGGTCAGGGGTTCAGAGGCCTTAAGGAGGGAACTGGCAAGGTGAGCATATGACCAGGAGCAAGTGTGGGCACTTGCCAGGGCCTCTGTGTGCACATGAGGGAGGGCACGTTTGGGGAATGTAAGTTCAGGACAATGTGTTTAAGTGTGTGTGTGTGTGTGTGTGTGTGTGTGTGAGAGAGAGAGAGAGAGAGAGAGAGAGAGAGAGAGAGAGAGTGTGAACTGGGTGTGTCACATGTGAGAGCCATAAGTGTGAATCAGGGCACCTGCCTTAGGGAAAGAGTATGTGGGGTGGGGTGGGGAGCTCATGCAGGCAATCAAGCATGTGCATAGCTATGGATGTGTGGAAATGAGCTTGAGTGTCAAGCATAAGTGTGTGTGCACAAGGGGCATGAATCTGTGGACCTGTGTGGATATAAGCATGTACAAGTATGAGAAGATTTAAGTGTGTGTGGGCAAGTTGTGCTGCTCGTGGAGATTCAGGGAAAGGATGACCTTCCCTAGTGGGCAGAACCTGAGCTATCTGCTACTAATTTCATCTCCCTGCACAGACTCAGAAGAAACATCACAAACTTGGGACAGGAAGGAGCTTCATATGGAACCCAAGGAAATTTTTCAGAAGGGGCCAGAAACCTGGTTTTCCTTGTCCCCAAAGCCAGCTGAGATCCCAGTGTCCTACACAAGGGGAGAGAGAGAACTGCTCAGCCTCCTAAACATCACATCTAGGTGGACACATAGGTCCCAGGCAGTGAGAGGGCAGTGGGGGGAGCCCAGAGCCTTGGAGCTTGGAGACCACTTATCTTACAGCATCTAAGCCCCAGCTGCACAGAGGAACCTGGGTGTCTTGGGCTTGGCATTTGAAATTCTGCTGTCCAGCACCAATGTCAGCCCTGGCTGGAACACTGTCTGAAAGGCCCCAAGGTGAGGATCCTGAGGAGGTGGAAAGGGCTCCAGAGATTTTTCTAAGAAGCTGGGACTACAAGCGGGTGTAGCCTCTGGTGATAAAAAGGAGTTAATTGGGGCCTGGGGTTTGGCTTAGTGGTAGAGCGCTTGCCTAGCATGTGTGAGGCACTGGGTTCGATTCTCACCACCACATACAAATTAATGAAATAAAGGTCCATTGACAACTAAGGAATACTAAAAAAAAAAAAAAAAAAAAAGGAGTTAATTGCTTGTCATGTGCATGACTGCCAAACCCAGATGTCTTGTCTTTGGTGAATGTCCTGTGAATGCCACCTGTGGATATTAGTCAGGGACCAAGAAGTGGCATGGCCACTGTTTCAGAATCAGCTGAGGGCACTACTGGGACAGAGCCCACAAAAGTCCTCATGTACTTATGTACTAACTCTGGCTTGTCAATGGAGTTGGTGTCACTTGGAGCTCTATTTACTTTGGGCTGTGGTTAATTCTTGGCCTAGGAGTCAATTAGCACATTCCCAGGACTCCTCCACTGTCTAGGTGAAACATTTGTTTTCCACAAACTTCAGCCAAGAGAAAAATCATTACTGCCCACAAGCAAGTAAAAATGGAGTGGATTTTCCTCAGAGTAACTGCTTTTTACTCCGTTTGCATTTCATGGCCTCACACCAGGCTCTCCAACTTGTCTCCAGTCACTGACAGAAGTAGACATCATTATGGATGCATCTAGAACTGGTTTTGCCTTTTTACATCTAAGGATCTGAGGAGCACTTGCCAAATACCTGTATCTCTGCATCCTTGCTCGGCCGCATGGTCAAAGGCTGATTTGACATCTTGCTGAGTGATCCCACCATACTGCTTTCTCCTTTTGTAGGGACCCTTCTTTGAGGGGTCCTCCAGGTTGCTAGCTGGGAGACTTTAGACTCTGCCTTCTTGCCTTTCTTGGGCAATCAAGGCCCTTGAGGGGTGGTGCTGTCCTGCTTGGGCTGGTGGAAGGAGCTGGGTTGCTCTCGCCAGGTCTTTCCCAAGCCTTAGTTCCCTCTTGCCAACGGTTGAGGAGCTGTTTCCCTGGATGAGTCCATTCTGCCACCCACTGATATGGCACATTGGGTTTTCTTGTCTCCATTCTTCCTTTTGCTCCAAACATAACTGCAAATGCTCCTTGATGGCTCTGAGCACTTCCACCTGGCTCATTCCTTCCGTCAGGCTTCTCACCTTCAAAGCTGTCTTCCAAGAAGAGGGCTCTCCAGAGAAGAGAACCACACAGCAGTACCTTTGGACCTCCTTCCCTGTCTTCACAGCAGGTCATTCAGGGATGCCACCAGAATCTCATTTAGAGCTTCTCATTGTTGTAGACATGGAACTGTGCTTTGTCTTGAGTGAACTGAAGCTGCTTCCCTAAGGGAACACAGCTGGTTCCTCACTAACAGGACACTCCCTTCCCTGAACTTGTCAGTGGAGGAAAGGCGGGAACTTTCAGCCCTGACACCTCCTCCTCCACTGTTCCTCTTGAGGGATTGCTATAAAGTATGGCGTGAGACCAGTAAAGAAGGACTGGTCCCACAGGAATGCCTTGCATTAAATCCATCCAGCTATAAACTCTCAATCCCCCCTGCTCCTCTTCATTCCGAGCAGCACAGCAGGGTTGTGCTGAAACCTGGCATTTTAAGCAAGACTTTTCTAAAGTCTCAGGGCCACCAGAAGGGCAATCAGCACCTAGAAGGCCTGGCACCAGACATCTTTCCCTCCCTGCTCACTAAGGGAAACTCTCCTGCCCCACCTTTCAGGCCCCACTCCTCAAATTCTTTATTCCACAAATCACAAAGCTGGGTGTGAGGGCAGGGGTGCACGGAGCAGATAGTCCTTGGTAAAGGTTTGCCTGGAGGGGAAAGCAAAAGGGGGAAAGAAGGCAGTGGGGTAGAGAAAAGAGGTGCCTGTCCATGGGTGAGGACCAGAGAAGGAAAAATGATGAACTCTGGAGTGGGAGTAAGGGGAGGAGGAATTGCAGAAGTGCTGGTAGGGGTCATAAATTGATTCCCTTTACTATTTTCTGAAAGAGGCAAGTACATACTGGAAGGCATTTATTATTATTATTATTATTATTATTATTATTATTATACTTGGTTAGTGAAAGCAAAACCACTCAGATGGAGCCACATGGGATCCAGGACATTTTCAGAATATAAAAGCAACTAGGGTAGACTTGCAATGTGGCTCACCAGCTGTGTCTACCTCACTCCTCCTCATCACAGATCTCAAGCTGGAGTGGGTCAGCTGCACTCCAATTCATATGGCAGGTCTGTCTGCCATACCAAGGGTGCTCGTGGGAAGTGATGGGTTGACACTGGAGCTTCCAAAAGTTTAGGAGATTTACTCAGAAGATGCCTGATGTATTATACCCAGTATGAGTCCATTCAGGGCACATATGTACAATTGAATCCCCCAATTCAGTGTCCCTTGACTTTGGCTAAGCATTAGTAGCATTGAAAAACTCTGAAGCCCAGGCTGTGCCCTAGACTAATGGAATTAGAACATCTGGAGGTGGGACCCAGCAATCTGTAGTTGCTAAAACTCCCAAGCTTGAGAACCACTGGCCTAACTTCAGATTCATTTCATGTTTGGCCATCAGCCAGACATGAGCCAAATTCTTTGACAGTCAGCATCCAGCCTCCTAAAGGGATCTAGTGTCTGACATTAATGCTTAGCAATAGTCCCTGACCTCCCAACTTTCTAAGCACCCAAGCTTCAGCCACAGCTGGGATCATTTTGGTAAGACACACATATTTCTATGAACTTGGGTCATCCCATTGGCTAGCCTGTGGCCTCTGCAGCCCTTCCACTTGCTGCTCTGGCCCCTGTGAAGGCAACACTGCCCTGCAGCAAATGTGGCTCTCACCTTCTCAGCCAAGCACTCAGGTCCTTTTTTTTTTTTTTTTTTCCTGATATGCACACTCATCAGCATCATGGCCCTCCTCTGGACCAGCTGCTTCCCACAGGCCTCCCTTCCTCTGCTGGTCACCACTGCCATGGCTAACACAGGCCACCCCTAGGCCAAGCCCCTCCTATTTCCATTTGGTTCTGCTGCTGCCACTGAGGCACTGGAGCCAGTCATCTGTCACAAAAGTAGATGAGAACATCTATCTTGTGCTGCTTTATGTACTAAAAGAAGGGCCCTGTTAGAGGTCTTGCTGACCCACCCTTGCAGTTTTTAAACAGTCCTCATCCCACAGCAGGCCTGGCCCTCCACCCCATGACTGTATCCCACTCCCTCCTCCAGCAGGGATGAACTCTTTCTGGAACATTCCTCTTTGCTCAAAGTTTCTCACCCAAGTCCCATAAGGGCAAAGTCCAGCAACATACACAGCCGAAGTCCATGCAGAGTCCCTCCTCATCCCAGGGACACTTGGAAAATGTGCAGCTTCAGCAGGCCAGTATTCTACAACTCTCACACACTGTAAGGCTGGATAAAGGCTGCAGATGGGGAGGACATAGGAATGGGGCCCTCTAGAGCCCCTAATCCCTTGCTCTGGGGAGTGGGAACTTGCATTGGAGATACTGAAGGTGCCCTAGGATCACTAGGGGTCTGGAAGGGACCATGAAAATGGGTGAGAAATACACAAAGGGGATTTAATTTGTTCTTGGTGTTTTAAATACTACATATATATTTGAAAGTTTGGGACTCCTGTAATGATTAATTTATTTTTAAGTATTTCTAAAGATTATACATGCAAAAGCAATGGGCATCTGGCTCTCTCCCATATCTCCGGTCCAGCTCTAAAGCCAGCAGGCTTCTGGTTTTTCACTTCATAACTCAAAATATACTTATCCCTCCAACCTGATTAACCCCACTGACTCCTTGTGAATAGCTGGGGCTGGATGGATGCCTTTCTTCCCTCTCTGCCCCCACATATTACTGGATTCAGTTCCTCAGCAACTCTCCAGGATATGTGGTGAGGCTACTGGCATCACCATCCTCTTCTCCGTCTTTTCTTCCTTGGGCTTCTACTTCTACCTAAGGTCAGTGGTAGCTTTAACCTTATCAAGATCACAGGGTGGAAAAAATCTCCCAGGTATCAGGAATATGGCCCATGGAAAGACAAGACTCAAACATTAGCTGGATGTGAGGAATAATAAAAAAGGAGGGGTTCTGGGTGGCTCTGGGGTCAGAGGGTAGGACACTCCTTGGAGAGGAAAGAAGAGAGGATGAGGCTGGGGTACCTCTACTGCACCCTAGTTGATCTGTTCAAGGCCACTGGACACACTAAGGTGGCAGCAGGAGCAGACTGGGCCTTAGCTACCCCAGAGCGGTAATTGGAATCATGGTACAGCTGAGATCATCGTGAGAATGTGCAGACCAAATAAAGAGGGTTAAAACCAAAGCTGGAAGAATGCCAACGTTACAAGAATGTAGACACTCAAGAATGGAGTACCCACAGCAGCAGAAGGAAACCGCTGATGCTGGTCAAGGATACCCAGGATTGAAGGGACCACTGCACTCATAGGCAGGGGATTCCCTGGTGCCAGTGGGTAGGGTTCACTGGCATGGCAGGGAGGCACAGAGAAGTGGGGTGAGGAAGAAGCATGAACCCTAAACAAGGGGAGGGGAAGTGGAGATGGGCAGGACGTGTCCCCAGGTGTTGAGTTCAGAAAGAAGTGAAAGCATCAAAAGATGGAGAGATGAGGATGAGAAGATGGAGTGAGGCTCTAGGGAGCTGGGCCAGGACACAAGGTGAATCCTAGAGGCAGGCAGACAGCCCCGCCACCCTAACAAAAAGGACAGGTGAAGCGATGTGACAGGGTCGGATAAATCTGCAATTAGGTAGCAAGATGTCCACCATTCCTAGGCCATCAGAGAGCTTCTCTCTGTAGCAGAGTACACTCACCAGCTGAAAGTGAGGGTCAGGATGAAGCCTAGAGAAGTGGTGGTAGGGAGTTGTGGTGGCAAGCAGGAGGGTGACGTGGAGGAGCATCAAGGGGCCCTCAGAGGCTGGACACCATCCTTTGCATTTTTCCTCTCTGGGTGTCTTTTCTCCAACAAATCTTGCCTTCAGGGGGCAGCAAAGAGGCAGCAAGCTCCTGAATCCTACCAGGGCTATTTCAGCGGGGCAGGCCTAAAAGCAGGTCCTGTGAACTGGGATCTGAGATCCTGATGCTGATGAAGAATGACTGAAAGAGGATGGTGCTGGCAGTCAGGACCAAGGGCTCAAGGAACCTGAGACTGTAGTCTGAGTGGACCAGTCGGTGGTTCTTGGCAGTGGTAAGGTACGTGATATGGCCACAGGTTTGGTAGCTAAAGTGAAGTGAGGTGAAGACCCTTGAGAGGCTGTAGCAAAGGGCAGGGTGAGGGATGTTGAAGATACTCAGTAAGAAGGTAGGAACCGAGTGGAGGAAGAAATCTAGGTGGCAGATGCTCACATCTTCCCTCTAGAGGGGTGGGGGGTGGATGTCTGAGGCAGGGAAAGTTGGGTACACCCCCTGAATTGTTCCTCGGTGTCACAGGGGGGTCTTACCACGTGGTGGGACTGGGACAGTCCAGGGCCTTGCCCCACCTCCCACCTCTGATGCTGCGGAGTGTGGGAGGAAGAAGGAATGTAGTATCCCTGGAGTTCTGAGAACCAAGTTTTCTGCAGGAAGGAGACAAAACCACCTGCAGGGAATAGCTCAACCCACCAGGGAATCTGATGGTCATGGAATAAGGGTTCGCAAGGATGATCATTCAGCAAGAATTTATTAAGCAGCCACATCTGCCAGGTCTTGGGATAGACACAGTCCCTGCACACAGGGGCTCAGATCCTGGCAGAGGCTCAGGGGACAGGCTTGGGTAGGGGATGGAGATGGGGCTTGGGACACAGGAAGGTACAAAGGGCAAGAGAACTCCCCTCTTGGGCAAAGAGGCCTGTGAGGAAGGGTAGCCCCAATCTCAGCAATGCCTTCAGTGTCCCTTCAGTCACGGGGGCCTCGTCTCCTTACCCAGAGGTCCGTTTATTCCTTGGTCTCTTCCTTGATTGGGAATTAACCCATGTCTACTCTGCAGGCCTTTAGGTACGTGGGCTGGTGAAGGCAGGAGGTCTGGCTGCAAAGTTGGGAGTGGGGTGGCCAGCAGCTATAGAGGAGGGAGGCACTCAGGGCTCTCAGAGGTCTGTCTTAGGGGTATCCAGGCCTAGGCTGGTGGGGGGCCTCTTGGGAGGGTGGGAAAATGGGAATGAAGTTGGAGGAACTTCCAGTTGGGACTTGGACTTGGGGATTCTCCATGGGAGCTCTGCCACAATCCCTGGGGGGAACTCTTGTTCTAAAAGTCTGGGGTGCTTGGCCTCCCTGTGGGCCTCTTATGGAAGAGGCATTAAATTGGGAATCCGCGTAGGAGCGAGGGAGGGCAAAGATATTTCGGAGCCACTGAGCTAAATGGCGGGAACCCCTGAGGGAGCGGCAGCGGGATTGCAGGGACCTGCACACCTGGCGGGATGGGCTGATGGCTCTCCGCAGACAGGGAGGACACTCCTGGGCATTGGTAGGATGGCTAGGAGGCCCTGTGGTGGTAGAGGTGGTAGCCTGGGCAGCAGGGGGAAAGGAAGTCCACATGGGGGCACGATATAGTTGGGCAGGCAAGCGGAGAAGGCGGTGAAGGCGGTTGGCTCTCTGTGCCCTGCACGGGTAGACGCTGATCCCACGGTGGATGGCAGTATGCTCCTGGTGATCGGCAGGCTGGCTGGGAGATTCAGCATCGGGGACGGCCGTGGAATGGTGGGGAGGCCAGGTTGGCAAGTGGCCTGTGCCATGGGGCTGGTGGGAGGCTGGATGGGGGTGGGCAGCTCCTGGCGCGCTCAGCAGGGAGTGGGCTGGTGAGGAGTGTGGCTCAGCAGTCTCCGGCGGCTCCGTGCACTTTCCAACACAGAACCTCAGACTGAGGGCCGGAAGGGACCTCAGGACCACCCAGTTTAACCTTTTGCTCGATTCAGATCCCTCTTTCCCTGGAAAGGTGACAGCCCAGCCTCTAACACACCTCTAGGGACAGAAGGATCACTACCCATGAGATCCCATGAGACCACTGGTTTCACTGAAGGACGGCTTTAAAGAAGTTCTTTCTTACATGGAGTCAAACTAGCTTGTCTGGCCCCTGCACAGTGCTGCCTGTGCCTCACACCCTTTCCTTCTCTTCACTGATGCTCACTGGCTGAGATTAACCAGGGAATGGGTTCTTGTCCAGTCCTTCTCACAGAGGATATAGAGGACAGAAAATATGTGAGGAAGTTGCTCCAGACAAATGCCTTGGACATTCCTGAGGAGAGCCAGGGCCCCGAAAGGAAGTGCTCTAGCAAGCATTGCAAGAATACATGTAGCCACCGAAGGCTCCTGCCTTGGTGTGGTGAGAGGGCTGGAGTAGTCCAGGCATTTAGCTGGCACTTAAGAGACTCTCCTTGGGACAGCTTAGGCCTTAATGCCTTGCTGGAAAATTCCCTAGGCGCAAGGCAAGTCTGAGAGTCACCTGCTGTGGCTGTGGCCCCTGGGACCTGGAATAAGGGGAGGCTGGAGTCCTGGGTCGAACTTCTGGGCCACTCACCGAGTTCTCGGCATCTGAGTCTTCTGAGCTGCTGATCACAACGATGCGTTCCTCTGAAACTGCAAGGGAAGGTGACATTAGGTCCTTCCTGGAATGCACACTGGCTAGGGTGGGGGGTGCTCACTGGGATAGAGTGGGGTCCTTGCAGGTCAGTAGACTGGGGGTGATGGAAGCATTGCAGGGTGATGTCAACATTCATCACATGTGCCAGGGTGGATCTGCTTTCTGTTCAGGTTTGGGTTACTAACACATAAATTTTTATCACTCCCTATTGTGCCTCATCTATGAATATTTAATGCAGCTACTGGTCCTGAATGCAGAATTTGCTCTTATACAGGAGGCCTTAACAACCACTACCTGGTTTAGAACTTTTTGTGATTTTTCTTTTTCCCCCAAAACAGGGTCTTTCCATTGACCAGGCTGGCTCTAAACTCCTGGGTGCAAGTGATGCTCCTGTCTTAGCCTCTAGAGTTATAGGTGTATGCCATCATACCCTATAAACCTTTTATAATTCTAAAGAAGCACATTGGCTTGTTCCAATCTTGGCCCTGTGGGCTTAGCTATCTAGAATTAAAAGATGCTTCATCTAGTTAATAGAAACCCTTTGATGATCAACAGCATTTGTGAATAAGGAATAGCAGTCAGGGCTCAGGATATGACCAGGGTCAGGGGTCAATCTGGGACCTACAATGAACAAAGCTGAACTCTAGGTCAGGAAGATCCATGAAAACAAAACAAAACAAAACAAACAAACAAACAAAAAACACTGTTATTCCAGCATCCTTGGTATTGACCTCAATTCCTGCTCAAGGACTCAGACTAAGATCTCATGACTAAACAACTCAGTGAGACCCTGTCTCTAAATTAAAAAAAAAAAAAATCTCATGAGGACAAAGGAGATACTTAGGTAGAAAAATTGGGGGAAATGATGGACATGAACTTTACCCAAGTCCTCTTTGGGACTGTGCTAGTCATTCACCAAACATTTCCTGGGGACACCCACCCTGTGCACAGGCATGATGCTAGGCACTGGAAGAATGTTCTGGGGAAAGGATTCATAGCACTGTGCATGCTAGCCCCTCGGTTCCCTGAACAGGCATCAAAGCAAAGCACACAATAAACTGGCAGCTCAGAGAAAGACACACAAGGGAATCCTGTTGGCTTTGCATTCCTGGGTAGGGACAGAATGCAGAAGGGTCCCACCCAGACCCTGGAGGGCAGTATTTGCGGCCCTAACCACCTCCCTACCTGCCTCCCCAGTGTCGCCAAGCACGTGGTTGTTGTTGGGCAGGAGGACCTCTTTTCCTATGATGGGGCTCTCAGGGCTGGGGGGCCCATCCAAATGGGGAGGTGAGACAGCCTTGGAGGTACTGGGCCTGGGCTGCTCCGGGGAACTTGAAGCCAATCTCGCCTCCTTGTCTTCCTCAGACTCCAGCTTGATGACCTTCCTGGAACACTGGGTATGGCAGGACTTCCTCTTCTGGGGGGTGGTTGTGTTGGAGACCTCCTGTGCAGTGGGGAGTCACAAGGCTAGGTCAGGGGCTCCAGGGTCAGAAGCAGAGATCCTGTCTGGTTGCTGGAGTCCCAGGGCCATGTTTTTGCTCCTGCTATTCCCTCTGCCATACAGAATGCCCCTCTTCAGACAGGAAACCTCCCACACCGTCATGCGCACTGCTCCTAGCTGCTAACCACCAACCTCTGCTGCTCTTTGACAGTACTGGGTGTCCCAGCACCCCAGCTGGGCTGGAGTGGCTCATGCTTAGAGGAGAACTTCCTGATGGTGCAGCCAAGAGCAAGGGAGGGCACAGAGTAGATGTCAAGCAAATACTTCCTCCTGAAGAGCTTCTGAAGGTTGGGATTTTCACCCTAGCTTCAGCTGACTGTCCTGGTAGAATGTGGGGGCCTTCTGAAAGAGGCAGGGGCTGGGAGAGGCTTACCTCACTGTAAGAGGAGCCTTTGATGGAGAAGGCATACAGTGGCACAGGGTGTGCTCCGGGCACCGACTGTACCACAGCCACAGGTTGGGCCTCAGCCAGCCCCAGGGCCTGGGCCTGAACTCTCTGTGCCTCGTCCGGCTGTGAAGTCAGGAAACAAGAGAATCAGAAATGATCAGGCAGCAGGTCTTGGGCCCATGACCCCAGGCCTGCAGGAGGCCTCAGATAGACTCCCTGGTCCCAAGCTTGGAGCTCACTGGGGACAAGGAGTCTTCCCTCTCCATGACTTCACCTGCTCCCGACCTTGGTGTCCAGGCACCAATTAAGTTCCTGGGTATCTTAACAAGGCTGGAAGATACCTCAGGGACCACTCCTCCTCAAGACATGGCCATGAGCCAGCCCGGCTTGCACGTATCCAGGCACAAGGTGCTTGCTGCCAAGACTATACATTTCCAGCCATGAGAAATCCTCCCACAGGGCAGAACCTGGCCTCCTGTGAACTTGAGTCTGCCCCCTGGGTCTTACCTCTACTGGTCAGCTACTATACAAGTTGGACCAATTACTTAAAACTCACTGAGCCTCAGTCCCTTCTGTAAAATGGGAATAACAACACTTACCTCAAATGGCAGTATGGAAGAAATGTATTAAATTCAAGCAAAATTGGGGCTGGGGTTGTGGCTCAGCGGAAGAGTGCTCGCCTAGCATGTGTGAGGCCCTGGGTTCAATCCTCAGCACCACGTAAAAATAAATATATAAAATAAAGTATTGTGTCCAACTACAACTAAAAAATAAATATAAAAAAAAATAAAAATAAATAAATTCAAGCAAAATGTTTAGGAGAGCACCTGGCACTTAAAAAGTGCTATTAATGGTGATGATGATGATAATGATGATGATAAATACTATTTTTATTACTACCAATGCTAGGCTCAGGGCCAAGTGCTTCATGTACCTATATCAAAACGATGTAGCAGTCATTGCTGAAACCATATATCTCTAAATATTTTATGATACTCCATTTCTGGGTAGTATTCTTATACAGACTATATCTGTAAGCATTACCTCTTCAATAATAATTGTTATAATCATTACATAATTTTAATGCCTTTTGAAGAAGCTAAGCAAAGAAAAAGATAAAAATAGATTTTTAGGGGCTGGGATTATAGCTCAGTGGTAGAACACTTGCCTAGCATGTGTGAAGCTAGGTTTGATCCTCAGCACCACATAAAAAAAATAAATAAATAGGACTGGGGTTGTAGCTCAATGGTAGATCACTTGCCTTGCATGTGTGAGGCACTGGGTTCGAATCTCAGCACCACATAAAAATAAATAAATAAAGACACTGTGTCCATCTACAACTACAAAATAATAAAGTAAATAAAGAAAGAAAAAAAATAGATACTTTTATTTCATATTATTTCTTTGCAGACATCCACTTTAGCACTGTTTGTGATAATAAAACTACTGACAATAGGGAACTGGCTAAACAAGGCACTCCATTCATTTAAAAGACCACAAAAAGGTGGCAGGAAGCTTTCTACTACTGACTTCCCTGCAAAAAGGTGCCAGGAGACAGGCACAGTGGTGTACACCTGTAATCCCAGTAGCTCTGAAGTCTAAGGCAAGAGGATTGCAAGTTCAAAGCCAGCCTCAGCAAYTTAGCAAGGGCCTAAAAAACTTAATGAGACCCTGTGTCTAAATAAAATATTAAAAAGGGCTAGAGATATGGCTTAGTGGTTAAGTGCCCTTGGGTTCACTTCTTGGTACCAAAAAAAAAAGTGCCAACAAAGTATTAGGAAGCTTTCTACTACTGACAGGGAAAGAATTTTGAAATACATCATTGAGCACAAAAACCCAGAGTACAATACCATGTATACATTGTGTTATGCTATCTTTGCATAATAATGAAGTAGAAAAGGCAAGCATCTACAATCATATTTTCTTATAATCACATGAAAAAATTCTGAAAGATTTATAAGAAATGAAAAAAGATAAGTATCTGGGCATAAAAATTGGCAGATGAGGGAGGAGGGAGACATGCTATTTGTCACTTTCTATATTTTAATTTCTAACTGTGTGACTATATGACCTATTAGAAAATAAATTAAATTGCCTTCTTTTTTTGAAAGTATGTATACGGGGATGCAGTACCCAAGGTAGTTAAGAGTTGGCTTTTAATCCTGCCTCTAGTTTGCTGTGTGTGGCCTTGAGGAAGGCCTCTTTGGCTTCATCCTCTGAAAAGAGGGGCTTAGACTTCATACTCTCTTCTAGTTCTAAAACTTTCAGACTCTTAAGTCCTACCTCCCCCAGGAAGCCTCTCCTGATTGCCTCAGCCCACAGCAATCTCTCTGTCCTACGGATCACACCCTGGTAAAGCTTGCTGTACCTCTGCCTCACCAGAAGATTTGCTTTCCATGGAAAACTGCTTAGTGCTGAGCCCAGACCCCTGACAGGCTCATGAGCTGGAGTGACTAGTCTGGGGAAGAGACCACCTGGCAGGTCCAAGAAGGAACTGAGAAGGCTTATCCTGCTGGAGGGGAGCCATGCCTGTGAGCACTGAAGGGGGCAAGCTGAAGGGATGCCACCACCCAGGAAGAACTTTCTAAGTCAGAGACGTCCAGAGATGGGAGTGGCTGCCTCCAGAATGAACGACCTTCCTGTCTCTGGAGGGGTGCTCACGAAAGCTGGACAGGGGTTCTGCAGAGGTAAAGCCAACATGAGATGGCATATGGGTATCTTCCATCTCTGAGAAGCTGTCGCTCTTAGGTATGATGGCCCTGGAATCATACTGTGGAACCCAGACTGCTAGGAAGGAGATCTGACTCCTGGCCCCATTCTCTCAACCAAGAACCATGTGTGGGGGAAGGATGAGGGGAAGGTCCACCTAAGTTGACCCCAGGAAATGATTCACATGTTTGGAGTAGAGTAAAGGGAACAGGGAGGTCATCTGCCACATTCAACAGGGTTGCTGTCAGTAACCACTGCCTTCTCCACCTCAGGATCTAGCCCCTTTGAATGCGGCTCTGGGGCTCCTCCTGGCACAGGCGGTTGAGCGCTTTGTGCACGAAGTCATGCATGTCCATCAACAGCTACTTTGGCATGTCGGAGCTCAGAGCCATCTAGCCAAACCCTCCTTAAGGCCTTCTTCAACTCCCTCCCAATAAATGCTCCAGTCTAGCCACTTGCTGTACTTCTCAGACACAGGGACACCACCTACTACCTCCCCTTCACACCTCAAACCCCTCTCACCAAGTCAACATCAAAAGGCTCCCTGGGAGTTCCGGCAGTCTCTGGGCTGGCTCTCCTGCATACAGCTGCATCTGGAGAACACAGAGAAGGGATGGCAGATCAGAGACATCCCAGTGAGGGGCATCCTGGCCTGGGACAGTGACAGAGAGGAATTCTGTTGCTTTCTCTGGACACCCATTCTCCAGGACATCTCTATGGAGAGGGTGGCAGTTGGAAGAAAAGCTCCCTTGTCTGCAGTAGGCCTGAACCCAGCCAGAAGGGAGAAAGGGGCAGCATTAAAGAGCAACTGCGTTTGACTCCAAACCCCAAGTATACTTTTCTCCATCTCCAAGCCAACAGCAAGGCAAAAAGTAGATGACCATTTCTGCTCACTGACTCCTATGGGGTGAGAGCTCTTCCTGATCCATTGCCTGGCTTATATTAAATCTAATATAAAATTCTCATGCTTCAGATTAAAATAATTCTCTCTCTGCTGCTGACCAGTTACAATATCCAAAGCACTGTTTTAAACTCTGGGGTCATTTCCCAGATATGGAGAAATACTCACTGCTTAGGTGGAGAAGGCACAAGTCATGCTCACTCTAGGAGCATGCCTTTATGAGCCCAAGTTCATCAGCTCCAGGCGGAGTAAGTAAGTTCTCCACCACTGACACCTGCTCAGGTAACTTTGGATTGTCCCTCTACCAGCTGCTCAGAGCTCAGATTCCAGCTTAGAGATTTAGTCAAAAAGCCCTGACATCCCCCATGTGCCCTGTTTTCCTCTCCCAAATATTTTGAAAGCCCCACACAGAGCTGCTTCAATTCCTGGAGTTTGATGCAGAGCCAAGCACTGTGTCATTCTCCAGTTCCCAAGTGTCCAGTACTAGGCAGAGTCCAGAAACGTTGGCAGCTGCCAGGGGTAAGGTTTTGAGCAAGYACCCAATCACTCCCTAGAGGTTTTGTTAGGCCCCACCTTCCAGCTAACTTCTCTATTCCTGAGAACAGGGGGCTTAAGAGCCTCCTAGAGTGAGCTAAAATGATATGCCAGGTTGGGTTCTCAGGTCTGCAGTGTGTCAACTTCCACATGTTCCTCAGGGGTCACAGCTATTCCACAGGATCCTATAAAAACCCTCAAATGACCACAGCTTACCTGTTCCCTGGGTGATGCAAGAGATGAAGTCCTGCAGCCGGACCTTGAACTCCTCGAAGCCATCTGTGTGCAGGGCAGCTTGCAGGCTCTGGGGTTCCTCCTGGCGTAGGCGGTTGAGCGCTTTGTGCACGAAGTCATGCATGTCCAGAACCTCCTGGTCGGAGGCATAGCGCTTCATCCTCTGCACCAGCGCACCGCCAGTGCGGATGCGCTGCAGCACAGCATCCAGGCGACGAAGCTGGCTGGCCATCTCTTGGTAATCTCGCTGGTACTGTTCATTCACTGCATCCAGCAGCTCGCGCTCCCGTGCCAGCACATGTGCTACCACCTGGCGTACATGTGTGCTAATCAGCTCCTCTGTGTCSGCGCGAGCACGGCCCAGCTGGCCAATGGCTGAGCGCATCTCTGCATGCGCAGTGCTGAAGGTACTGTCCTGCTCTTGCAGTGCGTGTGCCATAGTGTCCAACTCCTCTTGCCGCTGCTGGATCTCTGCGCTGATGTCGCACTTGAGGTCGCTGTGGTCCCTGTCCAGGAGCGCACAGGAACAGCACAGTGGCTTGGAACATCCTCGGCAGTAAATACTGCGGACACACAAGACCATCCCTGAGTTAAGGCTCTCCTACAATTTTTCCCTTTATATTTTCATTATTAAATTCCTATTCCAAAATTACCAAACTTTGAATCATGACATGTTTTTAGGTTCATGCTGTTCCCAATTCAGTGTTAATGGTTATGTTGGTAGAACAACTACCAATAAAACAACAGTGTTTAAAAAGTTACTACAGCTATAYGCTGTGGCGCATGCCTATAATCCTAGCAGTTTGGGAGGCTGAGACAGAAGGATCTTGAGTTCAAAGCCAGCCTCAGCAAAAGTGAGGTACTAAGAAATTCAGTGAGTCTCCAAATAAAATACAAAATAGGGCTGGGATGTGGCACAGTGGTGGAGTACCCCTGAGTTCCCCCTGTGTTTAATTCTTGGTACCAAAAAAAAAAAAAAAAAGTTCTACAATAACAATTTCTTCATCCATGCAGAGATGCAAAATTATACAAAAAGAAAGTAATACTCTCCCTTTCACCACCTCTGAGGCACCAGGTGAGCATGTAGGATGCATCCTTCCCACTTTTCTCCACTCAAATCACCTTACACAGATGCCCTGGCTGCTGCTGCTTGTAGAATTTTAAGGACTGGACATAAATCATCCCACTTAACCTTTGCAAGAGCCCATTAGGTGAGAATTATCATTATCCTGATTACAGACGAAATAACCAAGACATACTGACATTAAATAATTGACCTAGATATCTATAAACAATTTGGAGAGTTGATGTTTGTTCTTTAAAAGAATGAAGCCAGGTGGRGTGCATTGGTACACACATGCTGGGGTGCACAGGACTAAAACACTCAGGGGTCACTCCAGGGGAACTGGGCTAACTGGGCTGCACGAAATAACCACGAGACAGAAATACCTTTTTCTTTGGGGATGCTGTGCCGGCTCCTCTGACCCTTTAGGGGAGAGAGAGAGAGAGAGAGAGAGAGAAGAGAGGTTGCTGACCCCTTTTATTGAGGAGAAGCTATTCAAATGAGGCAAGGGGTCAGGTTTCAGAGGGCTGAGTCTAGACTCATGATGTCTGCTGTCAGCAGGTTGACTGACATCTAGGAAGGCCACACCCAAGGGCACAGTAAGAGAAGGGGACACACAAAGGGTGTTTCCATGCAACATTCTATCCCAAACAGGGCAAGGGGTAATATTACGAAGGAACAGGTGAGCATAGCTCCACCCATGGGGATGTAGGAAGGCATGCCCATGCRCGAAGACACAGTAGCTTGCACCCTAAAGATTGGGGCTATCATCTGGGTTGACCCAGGATGCCGCCCCAATCAGAAGGGAAGACAGACACAGTCACGTGSTAGTCCACCTCCCCCCACACACCTGTAATCCCAGCCACTGGAGAGGCTGAGGCAGATGGATGGATTACTTAGGCCTAGGAGTTGGAGGCCAGGCCTGGCAACATAGCAAGACCCTGACTCAAAACAAAAACAAGATTATGCTACATCATCACTTTGTAACTTCTTCCTCTAGCCTTACTTCCATTTAGGGCATTTCTCTAATTCTCTAGGAGTAGATCTAATATTCTCACATTCATATTCTCATTCTCTCTCTCTCTCTCTCTCTCTCTCTCTCTCTCTCTCTCTCCCCTCCCTCCCTTCCTATTTGGATATTGGGAATTGAAGCCAGGGGTGTTTGAACACTGAGCTATATTCCCAGTCCTTTTTATTTTTTATTTGGAAACAAGGTGTCACTAAATTGCAAAGGTGGCCTCTGAACTTGCAATCCTCCTACCTCAGTCTCCCAAGTCTCTGAGATTAAAAGGTATATGCTACCACAGCAGCTTGTATTTTCTTTAATAGATCCATCATTTTCTAAATAGACAATGGGTTCAGTCATTCTCTCTTTGACAGGCATTCCTGTGATTTCCTGTTGGCACATCTTCTTCCTTCCTTCCTTCCTTTCTTCCTTTTTATTTTTTTCCATTATGAACAATGATGTAATAACATCTATGTTATTAAATGTTTTAAGTACTTTTTTTCCTATGAAATAAAGTACAAATAAGAGGATTGCTACATCCAAGAGTGTATATTTGTAATAACTTATGTACTTGATATATTTAATTAATAATTAGTTTGTGAGATAATGGCTATGTTAATTAGGTGGATTGAGCCATTCCACGATATATACATATTTTAAAACATCATAGTGTGTACTGTAAATATATGTAATTTTTATCCATTTAATATGTATTTTTCTTTTTTTTTTTTTAGCTAGCAGACATTTTGATAGATTTTTACCACATTAATCTCCCTATCAAACCTGTGAATGTTACTTTACATGCAGAAGGGACTTTGAAGGTATGACTGAATTAAGAATCTTGAGATAAAGAGATTATCCTGGATTATCTGGGTGGATCTAATGTAATCCCAGTAGTTGTTATAAAGGAAAGAGGGGGGAGGCAGAAGAATGAGAGGAGATGTGAAGAGAGCCGAGGCTGGAGGGATGCTGTGCTGCTGGCTTTGAGAATGGACGGGAAATGTACCAAGGAATGAAAGCAGCCTTTGGAATCTGGGAAAGGCAAGGAAAAAATTCCCACCAAGAGCCACCTAAAAGGAACAAAGCTCTCCTGGCACTTTAATCTCAGACCCATTTGAGACTTCTGATCTCCAGATGGACAAGATAATACATCTGTATTTTTTAAGTCCCTAAATTTGTGGTAAAATGATTTTGTTATAGCAGCCATAGGAAACTAGTATAAATTCTCAGGTAGGAAGGCCAAGTTCATTTAGACATTACAACAAAGCTTTCTCTCCTTCCCCAGAATATATTGTTTTGCTTATCTCTTATGCCCATTCAGTGAATTTCCTACATAGTTAATATTTTAATAGTAGCTTCAGCATGTTTCCTGGGTTCTCACTTCCCCATCCTAAAGTTTCCATATCACACCAGGGCCACAGCATAGCAGAATGGAGGAGACAGCTGGGACTGAATCTGAGCTCTCCTAGTTCATGGCTGACCCCCTTGAGCAAATTCTCCAAATCTTAATTTCTCCACCTGTAAAACAGGAATCATAATGGTTCCCTCATAGACTATCATGAGGACAAGATGGGTTGGTATACATAATGTACCCAGCCCAATGCCAGTACACACTGGACATTCTGGAGCCATCAAGGAAGAGGGGGCAGTAGCCACACATGAACATGGCAGGGGTAGCCTTCTGCTGGAGGGAGAACCTCTCAAATTCAGATAGTAAGGAGACATCACCACTGAGGGTGTTCCCTGGGCTGTCCCCTTTCCAGCATGCACATGTCATTCCAGTCCAGTCACATCTCCTGAAGAAGACAGAGGAATAGGTCATCTCTGCTGTTTTGGGAAACAGGTAACTTGAATACAGGAAGCAGAAGTGCTATGAAAATAGAACTGGTGGAGCTGGCACCAGAGCAGGACACTAGGGCAGGGCCTGGTTTGCCTGAATGGCAACTAGAAAGCAGCCCCCCTACCCACCCAAGCCTCCACCTCCACATGGCAACTTGGAGCTTTCACTCTGGTGAAGTAGCAAAGGAGCAGCTCTTTGGGAAACTCAAACAACTATAGGGCATAAAGGGACCCATCAGTCATCTGTTCAGTAGTGTGAATGTGTTTAACCAGAATGGTTTCATGCTATCTCTCTGGTGACAAGATTGAGGAAACAAGATTTCTAAAGCCAGGAGGAAAAGAGTAATTCTAAAACCTGGATTATTTTAGAAGAGTGAACACATTGTTCCTATTGACCTTCCCTCCAACTACTCATTGGTGTTTATTTTTAAAAAATTTTTTAATTTGTTCTTTATTGTTATACATGACAGTAGAATGTATTTTGACATGTTACACGTACATGGATTATAACTTCCCATGGTGTTTATTTTTTTAAATTTATTTATTTTTTGGTACTGGGAATTGAACCCAGGGTCTCTTAACCACTGAGTCACATCCCTAGCCCTTTTTATTTGCTAAATTACCTAGGGCCTTGCTAAATTGCCAAGGCTGACCTTGAACTTGAAATCCTYCTGTGAGCAGCCTCCAGAGTCATTGGGATTAACAGGTATGCACCAGGATTAACAGGTATGCACCCAGTTGGCTACTCATTGGTTTTGAGAAGTTAGAGTGGAGAGCCTGAGAACTCAAAGAAGAAAACACCAGAAGTTAGAGAAGCAACAAGGAAATAAGTGAGAGAGGGAAGCACTTTCTATCTCATATTACATCTTATGCTGGCCCTGCACACAAGAATGAGGAAGAGAAAGTTTGTGTTTTCCTTCCCTACTCTTCTCCACACAGGTGCCTCCTCCCAAGACATATGGCAGGCAGACGGTGGAAGACAGTGTCTGTTGGACCATATCATTTATTCAGTAAGTAGCAGTATGTTGCTGTGTGCATTCCTACTCCCCTTAGCATCATTAGGCCAGTGAATGGCACTACCATTTGGCAGCCACTCAAGCCAGGGACCATGGGGTCATCCCATTGGATGCTGCATCACTTCAACAGTAATTCATCATTAAGTTTTCCTGAGAGAAAACTTTTTTAAAAATATGGGACTGGGAATATAGAAGTTATAGAGTACATGTCTTGCATGCATAAGGCCCTGGGTTCAATCCCCCAGCCCAGCAATTTTTTTTTTTTTAAATGATGAGTATCAACTTTGTGAAGGCATGAGCTTGCGGTGCAAAAATGAAAAAGGCAGAATTCTGGCCCCTCAGCCTGTCACATCAGCTCCCACTGTTGCTGTCTTTGTTCTTGCTTTGATTATTGTTCATCTCCCAGGGCACCACCTTGTACTTGGCCTTCCCACCTTGGTCTCTCCAACCCCAATCAACTTTTCTTAGTGTTTTCAACATGGAATTTTTAAAGCATGATTATTAGCATCAGAAGCAGAGGTGATAACAATGGTAACCTTCATAAGTACAATCAAAATAGTGTCATATCTGATCCAAGTTTTGGGAGAAAGTCAGGTCACCTGGGAAATCATGACAGTATACTACAATTATATAGTTTTG